TCTTTCTTCACACATCCATGAAATTTCATAAAGGTGTTTAAAATATTCACTACTGTTGAAAGCACAGCCATAAGCCTTCTAACATTTCATGGTCTGTTAATACAGAACACTTTAAATATAGAAAGGTACACATTATACATTAAAAACTGCACAGAGCCATGCATGAGGCAGCCTGTGTTGTATAACTGTAGGAGTCTTTAGGCCACCATACTCACCGCCCTAATAATACTCACCTGGTAGTTAAATCCACGCTACAAATGATAGGACTTATTTCTGAGTAGGCACATTTGTAAGGATTGCAGTGCTAATGATGGGACTACTAAAATGGAACATGTAGGATTCTATGGATATCTAGAGACCATCCCAAGTGAGATTTTAAAAAATTATCATTAGTCCCTTCCCTACTAAAACATAAAGCACTGAATTTATAAATAAATATGTTTGTCAAGCCTTACCACTCCTCCCATCCACCCAAGATAAATAAAGATTTTCCAAAATGAGTTTGAACTGAGAGAACCAGAACAACGAGAATGAGGAAAGAATCCAGTTTATTAGTCTATTCAAAAGATCTATATGTGTAAGTCTGGTGCACTGTAACGTGAACAACAGCATGGCCATTCATATTTTCTGTGGGAAGCAAGGACAAAGAATATGCACACATGCAATATGGTTGGAGGCACACTTTCAGATCAATCTGACATTTTAAATTTCTTGACTTTAGAATGCAAGTCATCTCCACAGGGTTTTTTTTCCCCATCCCTTCAAAAGCCTGAATAGCTTTCAAATATCTTTAAAATCAGGTTTCATATCTTAAAAATGAGAGAGACAGAAATTTCCTCAAAAGTTATTCTGGTTGAAATCTCAAAATGGCCTTCATACGTTTTAAGCTTCACGGATATTAAAAATACATTGACTGGGTGTTACATGTTTCAAAACTAGATGCAGACATCCTTGTACAATTATCACTGCAAAGTGGCAACCAGTGCTGATGCCACAATGTTATGCCTTCTGCTCAGGTGAAGATGCCACTAAATTAGATGAGATCTGCTCTCAGGGAAATATACGGACCTGTAGTCCCAGCACATAATTGGCCTGTTCTTGGAAGGACCTGAGAGCCAAACTACAAATCCTTTTAATACTGGCTATACATTTAATATGCATGTTTGTGCAGGTATGTGCTGTCAAGCTGCATTGAATATAAGTCCATCATTATAGGGTTTTCAAAGTATGTGACAGAATTCAGGAGTGGTTTTACCACTGGCCCCCCCACCTGTGAGTTTCCACTGCTTGGCCTATATATGAACCCAAGTCTCCTGAGTCCTGGTTCATCACATTAAACTACATTGGTGCTCAATATGATTCTAGCTAGTTTTTAAATACCATCTAGGGATGAAAGAATGGGACCTCAGGTTGCAAAGAACCTTAAAAAAGAAATAAAAAAAGTTAATCCATACTACCATATACCTACTGTCTAGGATAGCCTCCCCTAAACTAGTGCCCTGCATATGTGTTGAAATATAGTACTGTATATATCACCTCCAGCAAGTAAGTGCCCTGCATATGTGTTGAAATATAGTATATATCACGTCCAGCAAGTGTGCTAGCTAGGAATGATGGGACAGCCATCATAAATGGATTTATGATTGAGAAGCATGACTGGCGTGGAATATGAGAATAGTATGGCTGAAGAGAGAGCTGGACCATAAAGACGGCTGACCGCCAAAGAATTGATGCTTCTGAATTGTGGTGCTGGAGGAGACTCTTGAGAGTCCCCTGGACTGCAAGGAGAACAAACCCACTCATTCTGCAGGAAATTAATCCTGAGCGCTCACTGGAAGGACAGATCCTGAAGCTGAAGCTCCAATACTTTGGCGATCTCATGAGAAGACTCCCTGGAAAAGACCCTGATGTTAGGAAAGACTGAACGCAAGAGGTGAAGAGGATGACAGAGAACGAGATGGTTGGACAGTGTCACCAAAGCTATCCACATGAATTGGACCCAACTCTGGGAGGCAGTGGAAGACAGGAGGGCCTGGCATGCTCTCGTCCATGGGGTCACGAAGAGTCAGACATGACTTAATGACTAAACAACAAGCCTGAAGAAGTTCCTTCTCTGGATAAAGTGTCCAAGTTGTATCTTAAAAAATAAATCTTGTTAAGCTGTAGTCACTGTCATAATTACATAATTATAATTCAAATAAATCTAAGCAATGTTCACCATTTCTTTATTTTTCCCCCTCCCCTCTAATCTGTTTACCTGTTCCACCTTCTCAGCTGATTTGGGACTATGTTTCCAAATAAATATACAGGAAAATTAAACTATCATCATCACACACAAAAATTATACCTTTTTGTGTTTTCTGCTATATTCTGAGATATATATTGTATGTTTCATTTGCACATATGTACTCAGCTGCAGTACTGAAGTCGTGAAATACAATCTTTTCATGAAATACAAGTGTATTTCATGGAAACCATATGGATTTTTAAGCTGCTGGAAAAGAGTCTTTTGACATTTAGGTGATCTAAATGTGCTACCAACTTGCTTCCAAATCCTTGTACAGTTTTCAAGCTATGCAAGATGTTCAAAGGATGGTTTACCACTGCCAGCCTGCAGTAAGTTTCCATGGCCAACCCAAGATCATGGCCAACCCATGTCTCCAGAGTCCTAGTATGATACTCTATCCAATATACCACACTGGGTCTCTAAGTGGTCTATAAGTGTCCTTAAATAAATGAAATGTTTAAATAACTGTGTGCTGACAAAGCTGTATTTCCTGAGGTTCAAGAAACACAAGTAGTAACAGTGCCCAGGGTCCCACAAACAAAATGAAAGTTTTCAGAAGACAGAGATTGTAATATAAATTTATAAGATGGAACAGGTCTTAAAAGGCAATACAATGTAAGGTCACTGAATGTTTCTCCATTTCTGGTACTGACAGGACTTTAATACAATAATCATGATGCTTAATACCACAAAGTAGAGGCCATAGTTTTGCAGATAGGTAAAGAAGCTACAGTAGAATAAGTATGTAGCACACATCAGAGTGCCCCCATTCAAAAATTTACCCCTAACTTCAGTCTCATTCTATTGATTTCCCATGATGTTTCTTTGTCTTTCAGTCCCTTCCATCATATCCCAATAAGGATCTCTCAACGGTTTTTCGGCACACCTTTTCTAGAACTTAGGCTGCTTTTTTCACACCATTTCCTGCTATTGAATTAGCATTGCCTCCAGTTTGCTATTCCGCCTCCCCACCCATTCTTCTCTTTGTACTCTGTCATTACAACTGTGCCTAACTTAACTTTGCCACTTATTGAAGTTTATTCACTCTTTGAACTTGGGATTCTCAGCAACACATGCACTCCCACTATTGTTTTCTCAAACAACCTCTCCAACAGGTTCAAAATGGTATGATGCATTTTTAAAGTTGCAGCTTACAAAACAGGGGTCATGCCAATCAGAAATGTTGGAGCCAGGCACTCCCTTGCTTGTATGGGCCACCTTTTGTGCAACCCCAAAGTGCTCCCAACTTAAGAAGACCACGTCACTTCTATAATGGTAAAAGAATTGTCCCCACAGTGTATCATCCAACTCTCATATCAGTACTGTAAAACTTGAAAACTTTAACCTTCACATTGAACATGATCCTGTGTTTTGTTATTTCACTCCAAATAATATCTTGGTCTTCATTGGGATGCAGGAGCCTTTTCAGCGACTCACACTTTATTCTAATTGAACTTTCTAGTTCTATTTTCTGAACTGTCTCAACTGCTGTCATGTGTCGGGTACCTTTAACTGACAAGTGTTCTGTGTTATGTTGTAGCTATTCTGTTATGGATATTAATTCAGTGCACACATACTTGGGTGTAAGTTCCGGTGGACCTGCATTACCTTAGCACACCAGGCATTGCACTGATGCTCTCAAAGACCCAGTTTGGCATGGACTGCACATCTTAAACCACCACATCTTAACTCTGGGGTGGGGGGAGTGAAGGGATTTGTGGGCGGGGGGAGAGCTTCAGGAAAGTGATATGGAGAAATGTATCAGAGACAGAACAAAAACAATTAAGAAACCAGAGAAAATATGGCAAATACATCAAACTGATTCCCTGCTGCAATATATTTAAGAGTTTTCCCATATTGCATGCGTGATTAAAATCAAATACTGGTGCTGAAAGAGTTTGAAGGCTTCTTCCCCGTTTACTGGTGTTTATTGTTACATTCCACACTCTTCTTTCAAACATTCTCCTACTTCCACTGGATACTGTCACTTTTCTCTGCTCTTACATGCTGCTTAACTGGCCCCTCTTTCCTTTGGTTGTTTTGCCCTTATGCATGGCTTTCATCAGGACACTTCCCTATCCGTCCCACTCTTGCCTTTTCAGTGGTCCTTCTCGAGGTTTTCCATGGCTCACTCAACTTTCTGATGCTCATTTCATGTCAGTGTGTTTCAAAACTCTTTCTACCAGCTTGACTGTAGCTATAGATCAAAGTCACTTTAACTTGTCCACATGACAGAAGCAAAATCCGTGCCTCAAGCCAGGGCCAGGGTGTCAAACACAAACCTCCTCGCCTGACACCATCCTAGTCTAGCCATCAAGGTAGCAAACCCCGCTCCCCTCCAGCATTTCTCTCTCTCGTCTATTTAGCATCAGTAAATCGAGAAAAGGGAAGTAGAAACTTTGCCAAACACCAAAGAAGCTTTTCAAAACACATACACACACACACACACACGAATGAACCAAAGACAGAAGGCAACAGTCAGGTCAGAACACAAGACGTAGCAAGAAATAAAAAGTCAAAGAGAGGAGTAGCGCTCTCCGCCCCCCTCCGCAAACCTCCCCCCACCCCGTCTGCATTCCCCTCGGAGGCAGAGATGCCAGCAGAGTCTAATGCTTAGGCATGCACGCTGATCTGCTATCTACGGATCTGTGCCGCCCGGCCTATGGGGACCGACTGAGTAGGCTGACTGAGTAGGCAGGTAGGTGTCATTTACCGGGGAGGCAGAGCCGTTCTTGCAGAGCGGTCCCCTGAAGATCCCTTTAATGCCACGGTAGTGCCCGTTGCTGAGATGCCTGGAGCTGATCACCAAGTAGCACGCCATGCGGGTCCGGGCTGGTTGGAGAACGGGGCAATGGGTCAGCGCGCAAGAAGACCCTGGCTCCTGAGCAAGAGGGTGGGTAGGTGGGAAGAGCGAGCGGGGGCTTCGCCACCGTCACGCAGCAGCAGCAGCAGTAGTCACAAAAAGCAGAGTCGCCAAGAAGCGCTTGCTCTTCTCCGCCCCGCTGGAGCAGACGCCTGGAAGGAAGGAAGGAGCCACTAGTGTCCCCTTTTACCCACCCACTCCCTGTCTCTCCCTCTCCCTCTCGAGGCTCTCCCTCTCTCCCTCTCATCCAGCAGCACCTTCCTTGCTGCTGCCCGCAGCAGGATGGAGTACTGACGAAAGCAACGCCAGCAGCCCGAGCGCACTGGAGGAAGCCGGGGAGGCAGTCCACATGCTGTACCGCTGCTGCTGAGGGCGAGCTCCGCCAAAAGAAGAGGCGAAGAGAGCGGGCGGGCGGGCGCGCAACTTGGCAAGGAGGGGAGGTACCGCAGCCGGGCTCCCTCGCTCTCCACAGCGCGCACTACTACCCCCGCCCCGCCACACCACCTCCGCTCCCTTTTCTCCTCAGAGTAGGTCCGAAGGAGGGACAAACATCCACAGGGGGAGGTTTCGGCTGGAGGCGACTCCTCAGAGCTGTCCCTGGTTGCGCGCCGGGTGGAGCAACAGCAGCCGAAGAGAGCGAGCCAGCGAGCGCTGGGAAGAGTCTTTTGGCCCTCGGCACCCAAAGTCCTCTCTCTTTCCCCCCCCCCAGCTCCTCCCGCGCTCGTTGCTGCAGGCCACGTCTCCGTCAGGCTGCGCTTCCCTTTCGCCCTCA